CCAAACCTCATTAAATTGCTTGTGTCTTGGGCTGGTTCCTCTTCCCTGCCTTGGAGGGAAGGAAGGAATCTGGCTGGACTCTGAAGCCTTCTCCGCCCACACCATGACCTAATGCTCTGTGTCCAATACAGGGTGCCGGGGATCTCTGGGCAACCAGTCTGACAAGGAGGGGGGGTCTCCAGATGACTCACGGGGCCGCGGAGAGTACAGGTGGCCCCAGGAATGCAGGCAGGGCCCTTCTGGAAAGGCAGGAAAGGGTGGACCCGTGTGAGAGACAGTGAGGGAGGGAGACGGAGACTCCTTCCGGCTCTGTCGCTTGCTGTGTGATCTTGGACAAGTTCAAGAGCCTCTCTGTGCCTCGCTTCCCTCCTCTGCAAGTGGAAATTTTAACAATAAAATCTACTTCAGAGCCTCATTCTGTGGCCCCAGTGAGCTAGTCTCGGAATGGTACTCAGCGTGTTGAGTTGGGGTATGAGTTGGGTGCCCTTCTCCTAGACCTTAGGAGGGGAGCCCCTGGACCCACAGACCCAGGTCAGACCACAGCCACTGCTGGACTCACGCCAGAGAGCCTTGGGTCGCTTCCTGCGTTCCTCTGGACTTCGTCATCTGATGTGTAAAGTCAGGGTGGGGATGGACCTTACCTGCTGGGATTGTTAAAAAAGAGTCAAGGGCACGAACCCCGAGTCTGGGCCGGAAGGAGCCCTCGAGAAAGAGGAACTTGCATTAGCTAAGACCCCTGTCCACGTATCACTGGGATCTTGTGGGGCTCATACAAGGAGCGCCCAGGATCGACCCACGGGAATGAATGCCCGTGACCACGTGGGTGGGGAGGGGGCAGCTGAGGAGCAAGAGACCCAGGGTGAGGAGCCAGGAGCACAGGGTCTCAGTCTCCCCGTGTGGCAGGTGCTGGATGGGACCCCTGGGCCGGGTCCCTCTAGCTTCCAGGGCCACACAAAGAGGCACAACCTCATCAGTGGCCTTCCGGCGAAGCTTCCTCGGAGGTACCCGTGCCCAAGGTCTATCAGCCCAGTTCTATCAGATTTTCAAAATGATAACACACATCTGTTGGGCCCTTACCACCCACCAGATACTTTATAGGCATGTGTGCACTCTATCAGTCAACCCTTACAAACTCCCGAGGTGGTCACGGGTAACAGAAGGGGACAGGAAGCACAGAGAGGTGATGCAATCTGCCTAAAGTCACACAGCAAGCCAACCATGGGGACCTGGGATTTGAACCCGATTCCGAGTGACTTCAGAGCCTGAACTTTTTTTTTTTAATTTTTTTTTTTAACATTTATTGATTTTTGAGACAGAGAGAGACAGAGCATGAACGGGGGAGGGGCAGAGAGAGAGGGAGACACAGAATCCGAAGCAGGCTCCAGGCTCCGAGCTGTCAGCACAGAGCCCGGTGCGGGGCTCGAACTCACGGACCGCAAGATTGTGACCTGAGCTGAAGTCGGACGCTTAACCGACTGAGCCACCCAGGCGCCCCGAGCCCGAACTCTTTTATTTATTCACTTGTTTCTCCTTTAATTTTGAAATAATGGCTTCACAGGCAACCGCATACATAGTACAGAGAGGTCCTTACACGTACCCTTTGCCCGTTTCCCGTAATAGTTGCGTTCGCACAACTGTGGTACAATTCCCAAATCGGGAAATTGACGTTGGTGCGATGTATCCTCCTCTGCCACCTTGTGTCGCCTGTGTAGGGTTGTGTGGCCACCACCCCAGTGAAGACACAGAGCTGCTCTTTGACGGCAGAGATCTCCCTGGGGCTGTCCTTCGTAGTCACAGCCCCCTCCCTCCCACCTGGAGTCCCTAAACCTTGGCAACCACCAGTCTGTTCTCCATCTCTGTGATTTTGTTCTTTCGAGAATGTTTTGTAAATGGAATCATCCACTTCTTTTGAAGCTTATTTACTTATTTTGAGAGAGAGAGAAAGAGAGAGAGAGAGAGAGTGCTTGCATGCACAAGTGGGGGAGGGGCAGAGAGAAAAGGAGAGACGATCCCAAGCAGGCTCTGCTCCATCAGCAAAGAGCCCAGGGTGGGACTCGAACTCATGAGCTATGAGATCATGACCTGAGCCGAGATGGGCAGCCGGATGCTTCACCCACTGAGCCACCCGGGCGCCCCTGGAATCAGACCCTTCTAAGGCTGGGTGTGAACACTCAGCCTAATCCCTTGAGGTCTGTGCAAACTGTTGTGTGCATCAGCGGTTTGTTCCTCTCTCTTATCGCGTTGTGTTCCTCCGTATGACTTATCGTGGCCTGCTTAACCATTTGTCCAATGAGAGGACATCTTGTTTGTTTCCAGAGTTTGGCTGTTGCAAACAAAGTTGCTGGGAACACTTGTAGATCGGTTTTAGTGTCGACTTGAGTTTTTGTTTCTCCAGGATCAGCGCCCTGAGTGTGTAATCGCTGGGTCAGAGGCTAAGTGTGTATTTCGTTTCGTTAAAGAAACCACCAAAGTATTTTCGAGAGCGGCTGTCGCATTTTACGTCCCCACTGGCCGCGTGCGAGGGAGCCAGCTTCTCCACACGCTCGCCAGCATCTGGTTTTGCCACTTTTTTACTTTAACTGTTTTCACTCTAACTGTTCTCACAGGTACGTCGCGATGTCTCGCTGGGGTCTTGATTTGCATTTCCCTTCTGGCTGGTGATGCTGAACATCTTTTCACGCCCCTCATCGGTATCTGTAAACCCTCTTCCGTGACATGTCTCCCGGTTTTTCTAATTGCATTTTTTTTTTTTTTTACTGTTGAGTTTTGAGAGTTCTTTCTATATTTTCTTTTTTTAAATATCTTTTTAAAAAATTGTTTTTAATGTTTATTCATTTTTGAGAGAGAGAGAGACAGAGCATGAGCAGGGGAGGAGCAGAGAGAGAGGGAGACATAGAATCCGAAGCAGGCTCCAGGCCCTGAGCCGTCAGCACAGAGCCCGACGAGGGTCTCAAACCCACAAACCGTGAGATCATAACCTGAGCTGAAGTCGGCTGCTCAGCCGACTGAGCCACCCAGGCGACCGTATATATTTTCAGTATGAGTCCTTTGTCAGCCATGTGGGTTCAAAGTATTTTCTCCCGGTTTGTAGCTGGGCTTTCCGTCCTCTTAACAGGGTTTCCCATAGAGCAAAATTTCCTGATTTTGATGAAGTCCAGTTTATGAATTTTTTTTTCTCTTATGGACTGTGCTTTGGCATCATGTTCCTAGCCTGGAGCTTCTGGGTGGGTGAAAAAGTGGAGATGTGGGGGGAAAGGGAGCTCTGAGAGAGGGCAGGGAAGGCCCTTGCCCTTCCCCCAACCCTTGCCTTGTGGGTCTCTTCCGTCTGTCTGTTCCTGAGTTATATCTTTTTACCACCAGCCAATGATCTGGGAAAAAGAGGAAGAAGAGGAGGAGGAGGAGGAGGGGAGGAAATCAACCCTAGCCCTAGGTCCTAAAGACATTCTTCTATGTTTTCTTCGGAATGTTTTATAGTTGTGTGTTTTACTTTTAAGTCCATGATCCGTTTGGAGTTCATTTTTATATGAGACGGGAGGCTGAAGTCAAGTTCATGTTGTAGCCTGTGGATATCCAGTCGCTCCCCGTCATTTGTTCAAAAAGCCCATCCTTTTCCTCTTTCAAACCCGGACTTGTAACCAGGACACCTGGCCACCTCAACACTTTGTGCGTTCGTGTTCCCTGCAGGATTTTGTTTGAAGAGAAAATGTCGCCGCTAAAATAGTTTGAAAACTGTTGAACGAGATGATGCGGACGTTCTCCTGGCTCTCATACCTTATTAGCTCCAAGCCCTGGGGTGACGCATGGAGCTCAGCAGCTGGCTTCAAAGTCCCCCAGACAAGGGACTCCTGGGTTCCCGCCTCAGCAGCGGGCCCCTCCTGGGCCCCCTCTTACTATCTGGGCCCTCCTCCCCAGATGGGGCCTCTCGGCATAGAAAGGAGCCTTCCTTTGATGGGAGGCTCATTAGTGGGACAGAGGACACCCCCGGGCAGGTGCATGAGCCTGCGGGCAGGCAGGCAGCCCCCTCGTGAGGAGCAATGATGAGCTGGCCACGTGGACGAGGGGGTGGACGTGCCGGGGGTGGGGGTGGGGGGGAAAGAATGCACCAGGCGAGACCCGCTCTGAGGACTTGGAAGGGCGGCTTCACGATGCAAATTGAGATGCTCGCTTCTACCCACCGCCATGGGATGCCGGGAGAGAATTCCCCCAGATGCCCTGGGAGGAGCCGCAGAGGGCTCAAGGGCACGAGGAACGCGCCTTCCCCCCCTACCGGACCCCGCACCCCCCACCCCCAACGCGTACCTGCACCAGGATTCATCTCGCGCTGGCAACGGCCCCGTCTCCTCGATGAACCGATGTCTCTTCTCTCTGCCATCCCTCCCAACAGCAATGAGACCTGAAGGTCGCTTGTCAAAATCTCTGGTTTGAGACAAGAAGTAACCAGCTAAAAATAGCAGCGTGCCTCAGGTGCCGGGCTCACGTCAGTAGGGTGCTTTAGGTTAGCGAAGCGTGCTGTCTGCTTCCTCGGGCCTCCCGACCACCTGCTGAAGCCACGGTCACAGATGATTATGCCCACATTATAGCAGGGAAGCCCGGGGCTCAGGAAGGTCAAGGGGCTTGTCTTTTCACTTTTCCGTCTCCCTCCACTAGGCTAGAAGCTTAGAGGGATGGCTTGCTTGTTCACTGCCTCACTCCCAGCTCTACGAATAGCTTCCTAACCCAGTAAATACTCTGCACGTGAGCGCAGCAACTTGTAGGGGGGCTTAGGCGAACAGGCCCGGTGGGTCAGTTCTCGCAACGAGATCCAGCAAATAACAACAAACGACAGGTGGATGGTCCGAGACCTTCCGAAAAGTGAGAGGCACCGAGAGGTCACATCCAGCCCATGAGTGAAGAATGGCTCTTACGGGGGCCGCGTGGGTGGCTCAGTCGGTTAAGCCTCCGACTCTTGACTTCGAATCAGGTCAAGTTCTCACGGTTCGTGGGTTCGAGCCCTGCACTGGGCTCTGTGCTGACAGTACGGAGCCGGCTCGAGATTCTCTCTCTCTCCCTCTCTCTCTGCCCCTCCTCCACTCTCTCTCTCTCTCTCCCTCTAAATAAATAAACTTAAAAAAAAAAAAGAACAGTTTTTCCACGTGAACCTCAGTTAAACTGTCTTCCTCTCCCCGAAAGAATTTCATTCTGCTCGCTGGTCGACCCGTGTTACAAAAAAATTCTCCCGGATTATAATTTTGGGATTTGATCACAAGTAAGGAGGCATTTGGGAACGTTCATTTTATCCTTGTTATGTAAGTAGCCCCAGGTCACCTGCTAGGGTGCCTCTTGGCTCCCAGGGCCTGAGATATTTGCTGTCTGGGCCTTTACAGAGGAAGCTTGGCCGACCCCAGCGCTAGAGGGAGGGAAATTTGAGCTCTACCGCTACGGTTGGGGGTGATGACAGGGCACCCAGATGAAACGGTAAGGACATGGGTGACAGATCTGTGTCCCTGGGCAGAGGAGGCTGGTGTGGCCGAGAGGAGGCTGCTACATTCCCAGAGACCCGAAACGGTGACTGCCATTTACAAAGCACCCATCACGCACCAGGGGCGAGGAGGCTTTGCAGGACGCCAGACAGGCAATGCAAGCATCCTTCCCATCCTGCTTTCCTATGAAGAAACCCGAGGCCGGGGAGGTTCTCTCATCCAGTAGGGGGCAGAGCTGGGACTCTGTGATGGTTAATTTCACACGTCAGCGTGACCTGGGCGAGGGATGCCCAGAGAGCCGGTAAGACGTTAATGCTAATGCTGGCCGTGCAGTGAGAGAGTTCTGGGCGAGATCAGCATCTGAATAGGGCGGCTGAGTGAGCCAGATGGACCCTCCCCAGTTTGGCAGGCATCATCCAGACCCCAGAGGGTCTGCATGGAGCGAAAGGCAGAGGAAGGGCAGATTGTTCTCTGTCTGAGCCGGGACACGCATCCCGCATCCTGGGGCATCAGCGCTCCTGGTTCTCGGGCTTCGGACCCGGACCGGGACTCACACGGCTGGTCCCGGAGTTCTCGGCCTTTGGGTTTGGACTGGCACCGTGCCGTCAGCGTTTCTAGCACGCAGACGGTGCCTCATGGTGCTTCTCAGCCTCCGTGATCCTGTGAGCCAGCCCTTCACAATAGATCTCTTTCTGTATCTGCTCATATGAACAGACGTACCTCGGTACATATATCTCAGTATAGCCTCGGGCTCCTGTCTCCCTGGAGAACCTCGTACAGACTCTCACCCAGGGCTGACCACCTCCCGAGCCCAGCCTCTCTCCCCGACACCCGGGGGTCTCTAGAAGGCACCCCCCC